GTATAATACGACCTCGGAAAAAAACTGTTGTTAAATTTAAAAAAAACCCAAATGGCATTATCTTCGTGTATAACACGATTACGAAAATTTATTTTGTAAATAATATACCTCGAAAGAAGCTGTTGTATTAAATTAAACAAATAAAAATTAAGTTGTGTTATTTTTAATGTATTCATGATTTTCAAAAAAAATTCAATTTTAAAAAATGTATCATCAAAAGAAAGTGAAATCAAAATATTATTCCAAATATACCTATTGTAATTAAATTAAAAGAATACAATGGTGGAAACAAAAAAAGCCGTAACTAAAAAAATGTAATATTGGAAACAAAAAAAAGCCAAAATAATGACATGAAAAAGAAGTGAAATCAAAATGTTCCAAATATATTGATTAGAATAATCAATATCGTGAGGTATATCTCGAAAAAAAATACCAAATTATCAAATAATACACAAGTGATACTATCTTTCATTCTTATGCATTAAAACATTAGTGGTAATATATTAAAAAATCAAAGATGGGAAAAAATGTCCAGCAGCAGCACACTTGGCGCGCCCATTTTTTATATATTTTTAACATATTGCTAGAAGTCATATACTTGACTTGTTAATATAAGAATCATCCGTATAATAGAATATATTTGATAAAAGTAATTGAAAGTAATTTAAATATACCTAGTTTGCAATATAAGTTCTCATATTTATAAACTCATATATACTTAATAAATAATGTATATTGCACTAAACTTCATCTATATTTTCAACGCTCATGATAACACTTAAAAGCCGGCGATAACACAGTCGCGATCCAAACCAAATTACCACAATTTTGAAAAATGAGCGAGAAAATAACCGGCGCGCGGCGTAGTGTTGACGCAGATGTTAGAAATAAAATTAGTTTATTTCCATTACGCCGCTACACCGCGCCGCTACGACCGAGACAATTCTCTTGCGCCTGCGCTTGCACCCTTACGCCGTCTTACGCCGTCTTATTCCTTATCAGTTATCGTGTAGATGAGCCTTCACTTCTCTCTGCGAGACGTTGTTGCGCGGATCTCATTCATTGCAATGTACTTATACTTAAATATATTTGTAGTGAACTATTTGTGATTTCATTAATACAATCCTTTTAAGATCATACGCTGCGCTGTTTGCAACAATAATTCTATGTTCCCGTTACTATGATCGTGGCTACGTATATGTTTCACGTTCGCATTCGCGGCGGATGTCTTGCCGGTACTCGGTGTCTCGCATCTTGATACTAGTTATCGCGGACGCGTAATGTGTTATCTATTTAACTCTCTTAATCGAACTCTTCCGGCGCACGTTAGACGGCCGCTTCTATAGGATTTTTTGGTATTTTATTGTAATTCGCGATCGGATCATATATGATCATGAGAAATCAAATGCCATCTTCCCATGCGACCTTCGTTCGCGCTTGCTCGTGAGAAATTCGCAAGCTTGCAGTCTTGCATTTTCACTCGCTCGCTGCCATGCATACGTTGATATGCCGAAATGCAAGGCTTATAGCGTGATAGCACTCGGGCTATAACATATGCAATGATAACTGTTAATTAATTTGTTAAAAAATTACTACACAATAACTACCACGCTGATTCCTGTAAATCATTTATATCTCAAATGTTGATAATTGAAAATCTATTAATTTATTATTTTTAGTTTCAATCACAAATATTTACTAATTGCGGGATATCACAGATGTTATAAGTGCCGCGATGAATAGATTAAACCCTTAAATATAATAATACTTCCAGGTTTTTGTTAGAAACACTTATTTCGCGTTGCCTGGAAGTATCGTTCTAAATGTTTCAAATATATTACTTCGATGATATATTTTGAAACCTATTCGCGATTATTGTAAATATATCTCGATTCTACAAAATTGTTTTGCTTCTATAAAGTAAAGCTTCCTTATTTCTCGTTAGCTCTTATTGTTAAAGTCGCTTAAAGCCATTTAAATATATGTTGTAATATCTTGCATTCTGCTAAATGTACGTCGCAACAAACGAAAAGTTAAGTATCTGCCCGTACAATTTTCGTTGTTTCGTGTACCAAATTAACGGTGTGCTATTTTGAGCGAGAGTGAGTCGTTCGAGCAAATCATTTGCATTTCACGTATTGAAATACGTAGAATAGCATGAGCAGTAACGGGGAGAAGCCATCGGGAAACGAGAACGACAAGAAGAATCCCTCCAGCATAGAGGACAGCCCGTCAGACGATAAGATAGATGATGGTTCAGCCTCGACGGGAAGCAATAGCGGTGCGATCACGGAAGAATTGTCGCAGCCCGGAAGTAAACCCAGCTCCGTGGGCGCGACCGTCAGAGAAGAAACCCAGAAGCTGTTGGACCTAGCGGCACGCAGGGAATGGGCCGTCGTGGACCAGCTGCTGAAGTCTTTGGAGAAGACTGTGCAGGGCGCTGGGAAGGATGGCTTTATCGTACCGCTCGCCGGTGTTTTGGACACGGTTAGTTTCCAAGAAAATTAAAAAATCTTAATTTCTTTCAAAGATCTTCCGCATATCATTTACATAACTATGTCCATAAGACCGAAGAATATCTGGCACAAAAGAAATCAATCAGATTTTCAGAAATAATTGTTAAAGCATGTAATGTTTTAATTGGATAAAACAAATCCTTGTCACAGAATTGTTTACTCACGGGAGCCTTTAACAAGAAGTTTGAAATAGACGCGAGACGGTCAAACAATTATAAAAGGATCGCACGATAAATTTATTTTCCTATACACAAATTTTTTCATTTGCAGACGACAGGGATGACACCGTTGATGTACGCAGTGGAGGACAACCGAATTTTTACATTACGTCCGTGTATACACGAGGCATCTTACAAGACACATTGTTCAACGGATAGTTACAGACGGAATGAATCTCTTACGTGCGATCGAGTTATTGTTCTTTGCCATCTTCGGCAAGACGACATATGAACAATTCAAGAGTAACAAGTATCAGTCCGATTGGAGGCTCGTCCTCTTCAAGCTCACCTACGGCATTTATATGTTGGTATCGGTGGTGATGCTTATTAATCTCCTAATCGCCACAATAAGCAATATCTACCAGCGAATACAGGCGCAATCGAACACCGAGTGGAAATACGGACTGAGCAAGCTCATTCAAAGAATGAACAGGTAATAAGATGTATCAAAGTGGGAAATGATTGAGATAGCCGTCAACAATATATTACATAACTCTCTGAAGAAGAAAGAGAGATTGAAGTTCTTTCTGTCTTTCGCAGATTCGCCACATTAAATGCGTTCAATCGCACTGGATTATTTGTATATACATACACTGCGGGGCGTATAAAAATGAAGATTTTTATACCTTATTTAGAAATATATCGATAATGTAAGGTAACCGGATCCAATATGCCCCCATTAAGCTTTGCAAATTTTTCTAATTTTTTACTGAGTCCAAAATGAAAAATTAGCGGTCACATTCTAAAGAAGGAACATTTCTAAACGTTAATAAAAAATTTGAAACATTTTCAAGCATTTATATAGGTGCAGTAAAGATTTTTTTTAAAACTGGCATTTTGCGCATATTGGGTACATATGTACCCAATATGACCGTCGTATATGTTCTCTCTTTTTTTATAATAAAATGTTAAAAATATGGAAAATAAAATGAGATAACATTATTTTTATAAGTTTATAAATTTATTGCACTTATATATTGCTACATAATTAAAAGAAAAATCAATTTTCCTCAGCTATCTTATTAAATAAAAAACAATCAAATATTTTTTATTTTTTATTCTCTTTCTAGTAAGTTTACAATTGAAAATTATAACTGAGGTTATCAAATTTGGTTTTACCGTACAAAGAGTTACACCGTGTTACATTTTTCTTTTATTATAAATAAAACATTGTGAAAAAATATAAATTAACTATAATGTCGTAAAATATGAATACAAAGCTACAATAACATAAACTACAGAAACTGATAACCATGTTCTGGTAATCATACAAAGCAACTAAATGCTTACATCGCGACCACGAAGATTTTATTTTCTTGTATTGACACGAACAGAATGAATTAGAATATTAGATGATCTGTTAAATGACGCACGAGTCACACGGATCACTTGCATGCTCTACTATTGCTATTTATTAAATTTTTTGTGTAATTACTTACAAACAGCTGGCTGACCATTTTGTGTATAGGACCATATTGGGTCCAATTACCTTACGAAAAGGTTAAACGTCTATGTAATTTTTTCATCAGACTTTCGAATAAAACTTAAAGTGCGCAATTTCTTAT